ATTGTTTTACCTTATGTTGTTTATTTAGCTTGTGTAGTTGTGTATGTGCCATCAATACCATTTCTTGTTTATTTGAGTCATTTGCAGGTAATTAGACATTTTGATGGCTGTAAGGCTGACCTTGTTGTGTGTGATGGTGCTCCTGATGGTAATACAATATTTACGGTTTCTATCTTAGCTTATGGTCTTCAGCATTGTAGCTGTTACTGTTACCCCCTTTTAAGCTTCTTAAGTTTGCTTTATTCTCTCTGGATTTGCAGTTACTGGTCTTCATGACATGGATGAATTTGTTCAGTCCCAACTCATACTCGCAGTAAGTGTTCTAATTCCTCTTATGTTGATCTGCTTCTATCACGTGAAACTCAGTTTTTGAATAATTCTGGGTGTGCGATGTGCATGGATGGAATTGAGATAATGTATTATTTAGTCCGAATCGGTCAATGATGGAATCCATAAAAATTCAACAATCCTTGGAAGGAATTCATGGTTCCCTATGAGAATTTAGAAATCCGATGCTTTGATTGAGAAAGAAAACTATAATGGAACGATGTTGAATATCGATTCATTAGCAAAAAACATTCTGATAGGGGGATCAAAGCGGCTTTCCTTGGAGATGGAAGATTTGCTGGCCGGGATTTATCAAATCCTTCCATTTATGAAATTTAAATGATACTGTTCTACTGTATTTTGCATCTTATTCTTCCTTTCCTCCCCCCAAAAAAAATGCCAGTCGGTGTATATGATTTTGTTTATTAATCCAGGGTTTAACAATTGTTACTCATATACTTAGACAAGGTGGAAAATTTATTGCAAAAATATTTCGTGGAAAAGATACAAGTCTTCTGTACTGCCAGGTAAATTAAATTCTAAATACGCTCAATTTTAGTATCTTAGTTTGTAAATATCAAGCTTATTACAGTAACCCACTCCTTTTTTGCTTCTTCATTGCAGCTGAAATTATTCTTTCCTGTAGTGACCTTTGCAAAACCAAAAAGCAGCAGAAACTCTAGCATAGGTAAGGATAACATGCATAGACATACATGTAGTAATCCTTGGCAACTCACCATTTTTACTTTACATATATATTTTTTTTTATAAAAGTTGGAGGTCTCATTAAAAAATCCCTTCGTATTCTTCCGCATACTAAGAAGTATGTTGAAGAACATTGGAAGGAAGAAAAGAGTGCCTCATAATTTATTGAATAGAACACCCGGTATATGTGAAAACACCGAATACCCTCATACGGGAATATACACCATTACAAAATATCATATCACCTAAAAATCTCCCATCGTCAACCACAAAGCCCAAAGATAATAACCCTATTTCTAAAATACACCTCAAGCAAAAGGAAGAAAAACGCAAAAGAACATAACAGAACAAAAAACCAACACTTGCAACCATTAAAACTAAAAGAAACGCCTCTGAATAGAGCTCCAGAACAGTTACGATCCAATTGAAGGAACAAGTTGTACTGAATTATCGCAATCTTACCCAAGAATTTGGTTTAAAGGAAGGATCAATTTCATGTATCATGATTTTGAAGAAATTAGCACCGACCTTCAACTCCAACAACTCATCAATTCTCATTTGAGACTTTGTGAGTATTTGAATTTTTGTCCGATCAAAAGACGATGTAAACTAACAGCCGTCGTCGATTGCTAATAATTTGCCCCACTTAGGTGTAATATTTTTGAAAGTATCCCAATTCCAAGCGTGAAAAGAAACACCTTCGCAAACTAACCACACTCGATGACACTCCACCACCAGACTCTCTGATCAAGCTTCAACGCTGGAAAACCATTTTGCAAGAGTATCTAATTTATCATTCTTCACACTTCTCAACGAAGCAGATTCTTCAAAAACCATTAGAATTACATTTCCAGCAGCTCTTATTAATGTAAAACCAGCTAGTCCTGGCTAGCAAGATTACCGATTTTGATAAAGTTCTTGCACCACCCCACAAGACAGTTACTCAACACGTGAAGTTTATCTTCATCCACAATACCCTCAACTTCACAATGTTTATTCCTCGAAACAACTTTCATCCCAGACTTATGTTGAACAACTGTCGAGGACTCTAACCAATAAGACTGTCGAGGATTATATTTAGACAAAGAGACTCTAATTTTGCTGGCGTAAATATGAGAACCATTCATCTTTGATATCGCTTTCCTTGTTTCTTCAATTGTTGCAAAGCGAATGAACCCAAAACGAACCCCTTTCGAATTTCTTTTGTTAGGAATGAAGGCATTAATTACATGACCGTGATTGCAAAATAAAGATCCAAGTCTCTTCCAATGGATCTTCTCTGGTAGGTTTTCAATGAATAACGTGAAGCATCCACTTCTGTACCCATTACTAACATTTCTATGGCCTTCCTTCCACCAATTATTAAATTCGATTCTCCCAATTCTTGCTCCTTCACCAGACTTGTTACCACAACACCCCTTTGTGATGAACTTCTTGGTTCCAGCGTGGGCAACATCTTCGGTAGGTTGAGCTGTTGATGCCTCTACTAAAGATAGCTTTCCAATCCCATAATTCATTCCTTGTGAATGAGGCAAACCTTCAGGCCTAGATTTATTATCCTCCTTTTTGCTGGCAAAAAAAAATCTCCTTTTTCGTCGACGAAACTTCCAATCGGGATCTCGTATACTTGTCCTCATTCGGCCTCGACTTCACCTTACCACCTCCCATTCTACTACCTTGATAATTTCCGGATGTAGAAGCACTTGTCGATTGCTTTTGATTACCATCAGAACCACCATTGACAGTTTCCTTCACAACAGCTAGGTTCTTCCATCCACGGCCCTCAGTGAGAGCTTGCATACGATCACGGTAAATACTCGCAGCAGTAGTGTTATACTTGGTAACGATATCAGTTTCTTTAGGAATATCATATTGTGCCAAAAAAACGTTGAGCTTGTCGTTGCTACCCGATTCCATTTTCTTGATCTGGATATTTGACCACGAATCCATGTTGACATATTGAACGAACGAGATATGTACACCTAAGCCTTGGTGTTTGCAGGAACACTCTGAGCACATGAAGACACTGTATGTTACCGAGGCCCACTGTGGATTTTTATTTTTACAGTCCACACAAATTTTGTTACTCTGCCGAGACTGTAGAAACTGTAAACGGCTTTAGCTGCCGACCTTGAAGAAAATGTCTCGGACGGAGCCTTTAACCTTATTCTTGCCTCTTGTTTGGCTAAACCCAAAGGTGAGTAGGCGTTGAAAATCCCCGAGAACAACATACTTCGGATCCGAGACGATCCAATAGCTACTGAAGGAGATCGAAACATTCTAAGCCGGAATGATCTCAGTGGATTTTGTTAAGATGAGTGCCTTTTTTGACGAATCCACGTTCAAATTTACATTACCAGTGTCGGAACGAGTCCTCCAAGTTTGATTGTGCCTCACCAACCACCGGTGACGCCGGATGAATCTGTGGGTGTCGGCTTAGATCTACTGTGATGTAGTCTCTCCCTCATGAAACAAATCCTATAACCTTGTTGCTGGCTTCGAGGCGAGCAAATCTTGATGATTCGGTGGTCAACGGCAACCGGACATGGCGGCCGGCACGGCTTCTGACAACGGTGATGACGGTGGTATGGCCACCGAAATTCCCAGCCTAGAGAAAAGGGAGTGGGAATCGGGTTTGAAAAAAAAGAATACACCAAGAGAGAAGCAAAATAGTGGTACGGTGGTACGGCTTCTTTACATATATATGTTGATGTAATGGTTGTATTATCCTTAGAATCTTTTAACCTTTTCTTTCACACAATTTTTAAAATTGTTTGTGGAGCAAAATAGTTTTTCTCCTTCAGTGAATACGAGGCATTGACTCATTCATTCCAATGGGAACTTGTGAAGCTCTATATTATTGCTATGTATAAGCTGGGGCGGCTATTACACGTTATGTTTCGTGTTTACTTCCTTTCGTTTCCCCCTTTGGATTTATTGATTCATATCAATTTCTAAACAACTTGACATTTAAGCAGAATGTGGCTAATACAAGTTTTATTTCTATCACAGAGGCATTTGCAGTTTGTGAGAATTTTTCACCTCCAGAAGGTTTCAATCCGAAAGACTTGCATCACCTCTTGGAGATGGTGGGCAGTCCCTCAGGTGTAGATGATCTAGGTAAGTGGACAATAGTTACTAAGAATCCCATTCCCTACTTAGACTTTGTGAACAAGAATTCAATTTCCTTTATCCACTTGTCAGATTGCAGTAGCGGATGGTTAGAGGGCCCGAATAAGGTTTATATACCATTTTTAGCATGCGGGGACCTAAGTGGATACGACTCTGACCGCTCATATCCACTACCGAAAGTTGCCGATGGAACTTACCAGAGTTTGGATCCTGTTCAGCCCCCCATTGCTCCTCCCTATAAGAGAGCTCTCGAATTGAAGAAAGCTTCCAGTCATGGCATCCGAGACCTTGAAAAGCCTTCGGATTCTTGACTTAATAAAATGATGTTATTAATGGAGAACAATGAGCAGCGTTTTTTATTTTTATACTATCTGTGTACTTTCTGTTTATCGTTTCCCTGTCTCTCTCTCAAACTATGAGTCATACTCTCTGTTTCAAACAATGATCATTGTATTTTGTAAGGAATTATCATTCAAATTCAAAATTTCTATTCTAATTTTAACTCTTTAACCGTTAATCATTGAACTAAACCCATGGTGTATTGTAAGAGTTATTCAATTTATAAAACTGTAAGAATTTATTGAACAATGTTTAGATTCAAAGAACTGTAATAAATGAGAAACCGATTGGGAGAGTTTGTTGAGCTTTCACCTACGGTCCCACTGATTTTTCTCATTTGAATGGTTCGATTTCAGGAAAATTTATGGTCATAAATTTGTTCATGAGATTTCTCAATCATCTAATGAATAGTTATGCATGTGTTTGTCTACATCTAATGTTGGAAACTAAACAAATCCCTTTTTTCCCTTTGATTTTCATATCTTTTAGAAAATCTCCTAGCAAGAACATGTAGTAACCGAGTTTGATCTAGACAAAGATGAAGAATTCAAGAACTCGATGCAATCTTCAATAGCTTCAGCACGATGAGACTCAACTGATTCCGCCAGTGACCGAGACCTGGACATCTTGGAAGCATAAACCTTGCGTGAAGAAGAGTTGTTCCCTCTAATGGATATGAACCGCAAAGCTCCGGTAACTTTAGCTCCAACACGTCTCAAAATGCTTGCTGGTGAAAAGCTCAAGCTTTCGACAACCCTGAACGTGAAAATCCCAACAACAACCCTTCTTTTGTTACCACTCGTCATCGTCGTCGTGCCGCTGCCTCCATGTTTGATAAACATGGTCGGCCTTTCACCGACGTTGGGGCTGAAACTCACTCGCTTGCTCGTTCTTCTCGACATGCTAGACTCAAGGTAAGGAGAAATAAAGGAAAAAGGATGTCTGAAATGTAATGCAAAGAAGGTGCAGTTGGTAAGGACTTTAGAGGGTATTTATCGATGAATTGTGGTGAATAAAGTGAAAACTGTAAAGGAAAATGGGCAAGGAATAGGATAGGATTTGTGTCATCAAAATGAGTAATTGGCAGCGGAATTAACTTTTAGATGTGACCATATTAATGTTCATAGATGTTGACCTCAATGCACTAATTACTAATCCCATGGACTAAACCAAACAGAAAAAATCTGCCCTTTTCAACATTGCATTCCAAATTTTTCACATGCACGAGCCATGCATCTGGCGCATTCCAATGTATAATTGCTGTTTAAATCCAATTATTGATACCCAAAACTCCCCCTGAGACTATTACTTGCCCTGTACGAGAAAACACAAGGTTTTTTTTTTTGCAGGCACTGGTCAAGAATAAAGACAGAGTTGGTAGCAGGAGCAAAGGGAACACAAGGAGACAAGCACTGAGCGTTGCTTTTGAGGTGGTGTCAGGGCCCTTCTTTTTTCCCCTCTTTTGTTGGTCTTTTCTTGTTGCTGGAGAAGAAATTGGTAGTGCGATTGGCCCTCTTTGAAGAGATAAAATGAAAGAGAGGGGGGACTCTGCTTTAATATAGTTATTACAAGTGTGGTTTGGCGTGAATCTGAGGGAAAACCAGGCACCCCAAGGAAAGGTCCCAGTTCTGAGTTTTGCATCTCTATTGGACTGCATTCCTGGTCAAGTCATCAGAGACGTCATTGTTCAATAAAGCTGCTTTGATTGCAGAGCAAAATAAAAGCGAAAGCAGCGAAAGCCAGTCAGTATTTATTTAGAGCTAAGCAAGCCTCCTAGTAACACTGGAACGACAATTTCAAAGTAATAACTGCAGTTCAAACCAATCTTGGAATTTCATGTCCATAAAGAAAATGTTTGCCATGAGTTTCGAGGTGATATGAACCACAAGGGATAGTCTCTGGAGACAAACAGTGACATTAACTCATAAATGCCTTGCTTCCATTTGTCATCACTACCTGTGGCTCCAATTCAGCAGTTGACGTTTCCCTGTTTTCACTCATAAATACATTGTTCCTGTTGGGTGGAAGATGATGGGCTATACAATAGCATAGGCAATTACCTTTGTTTTGGAACCATTGATTCTTATTATGGACCCTTTCACCCCCACAAGCTGCTTCAAAAGAGCTGTGGCCCAATGGAATTTCGGACTAACAAATTATTTGAATCAAAGTTGATATCAAGATTTCTTAAGCAATATTAGAAATTTGAATCTTGATATTTACGAATAAAACATATTTGGTTGGAAAGATCATCTCTATATTAAATCTCTATTGTACTTAATATATATTAATTAACCTTGTGGTCGTGGGATCGAGTCTCACGGTGGACAATTCATAATTCTAACTGCTGGAGGTCTCCCATGGAAGCTGCTCTCAACCTGGTGTTGGGGGCAGCCTACTATCCTATCTCCCCCTTACCCCATTACATATGAGAATATGATCAGCTAATTAATAGATCGAATATCGATATTTATAAAAAAGAATAAAGTTAACTAAAAGAAAAAAGAGTTAAGCTCAATATTTTTTTTTTTTGACAATGAGTTGAGCACGATATTGACATTAGAGGTTAAAGCACACTCATTTGAGTTAATTCCATAATCTGATTTACAAATGCTGCCACTCAAATCTCTCTTTAAAGTATTCAATCCAATAACTTGGCAACTTGATCATTTAAAAATCAAAATTCACAGATAAATGTGTTTATACAGGACAATAAAAGTGGGTTAAACTTAAAACTATGTATTAGTCCTTATATTATAAAAAAGTTGTAGATTCTTTTAGTTTAATAATTTTAATTTATATATTTTAGATTTCAATTTTTCATTCATGATTTAAATAATAATAATGAGATTGGTTAATTTCAATTCATTTAATAATTATTGTATTAATTTAAGTTGAATATTTATTTTATATTCTTTAATTTATTTATTTTAAGTCTTTCTAATTTAATAATAATTATATGTCAAAAATAAAATATTAAAAAATACAGGGACAAAAGCCATAACTATGCATAGTATAGGGACTAACTTCAAAATTTAGTGTTAATAGTTTGAATTTTTCATTTTAGAAAACCTAAAAATGATATGAACTTATGATTTTAGAAAAATTAAGTTAGTAATTAAAAAGAAAGCAATAATTTATTTTAAGGTTTGTTTATAACTAAAAATATCAATTTAATAATATTATAATTAAAATCATAAATTACTAACTTAATTTTAAAATCGATAATGATATTTTATATTAAAGAATTGTTTTGAGTACACAAAGGTAGAAAAGATCTAAGCTAGTTTACTATGTTTCCTCTTCGATCGTTTATCAATAGGTTTCCTATCTCCGTTGGAGGGTCTTCAAAGTTATGAAGTCTGAATGGTAGGTTTCATGCCATCTTTGTCAACCCGTCGGCAACTCCGTTTCATTTTCTCAGAATATTAAAGACTTTTTTTGTAACACCCCAACCCGTATCTGACCCGAATACGAGTCCGAGATGTCACATCAACCTTTTTAAATAATTTCTTATATAAAATAGAGGGAAAAATTAGATTAAATTTAAACATAATGAATAATTTACATATATTAACTCAAAAAGTTTAAAAAAACTGTTCAGAGTTTATACAATTTAATTCTTTAAATACATGCCAATACTATATAATGCAACAAGGAAACATACTGTTAATTATTCTGATATGATCTTTGCTAAAGTTATGTTGTCTCCTCTGTCTATCTTCTCTTTGAAACTTCTCAGATCCTACGTGTGAAACACTCACACGTTAAGTCATAGACTTAGTGAGACATATAAATGAAAAATGAAAACTCTCACTATTTAATAATGCATGTACATTAAATACCATAATATCATACCAAATCATACACACATTCATACATACTCATGTACAATCATTTTCATTATTACCAATCTTATCATTAATCCTTATAATTATACTCTTATACATAACATTAGTAATCATCATATTATCCATTAATCAAACAATACACACAAACCATGTAATCCATTTCACACAACATGTCACACATATACATATCACATACAATGTATTTGTTTATTTCTTTATTAACCCATGTATACTTCTGAGAACTTAAGGTATGTGAGTACATTGAGGTTGTGCATAAATGTTATCACTACAACTCGTATAAATTCCCACTAGGGGCACATAGAATTTGTCCCGAAGGACCGCGTAAAAATGTCCCAAAGGACCACATAGAAGTCCCGAAAGACTACTCCTTAAGAATCACATATATATTCCAAAGGACCAAATATGTGTCTCGAAGAACCGCATATATGTTCCAAAGGATTACATATATATCCCAAAGGACCACGTAGAACCCTCTACTCTTGGCATGCCAAATATATCCCTAGCTCTCATAACACATAACATGGGCATTATCATTTATATCATTTCATGTATACATATAAGCACATAGTTCCCTTACACGTAGAACATTTTCATATGATTCACATTCACATGTCATATAACTTATATCTTGTTCTTATATCTTTTCATAAACATTTATTCACATATATCACTTTCCGGAAATCACATATCTCTTATTACATGTCTTATCTCTTATGATCATGTAATCATATAAATTATTATCACATAAATTATAGTCATATAGTTAATCACACATACATGCATTCATATAGATCAAGTATAAAAATGCACTTAACATATAGATATATACATATATTCATATTCACTTAAACATCATATCACTACATGCCTAGATTCATATTCTCATGTTATCTAATATTGGAATTAGACTCATCGCAAGTCTTAATTCCATAAATAACGTATTCTTAATATCATGTACTCACCTGGTCTCACTAGCCAATACTAATCTCTTAACTTTCTCTCGGTAAATCTTACTTTGACGGCTTGTCTAAACTTTGCTTTCGATTGATATCTACACGAATATATAGTCCAATAAATATCTGGATTTGAATTACTCGAAAAGATTCATACCAATGCAAACTAAATAAAACACTAATTTCAACTTTTCAACTTAAGTAGTATCGGTACTACAAGCACAATACTGATACTTATATGCTTGTAGTATCGATACCCTTTCACATATCGATACTCATTTTCTATTATGTAATTTCCTTGCAAGAATGGTACCGATACCTCTCTATTGGTATCGATACCCTGGTATCGATACACTTACTTCAGTATCGATACCCCCTGAAGATTAATCATTATTCTTCCTTATGGTATCGATATTGTTCCTACAGTATCAATACCCTATGCATAATTATCCCAAAATTTACTTTGTAGTATCGATACTTACTCAACCAGTATCGATACTACCACCCATAATATATTTTCTTAAACTCGAAATTTCCAACACTTTACCCCAACTCTACTTATTTGACTCTCTTCATGCCTTTAAACTCAATTATACATACTTAAACCATCTTTTAGTGCCATAACACTTCATTATCTTCAATATCTCATTATAACTCTTGAATTTAAGAATTTCACTAAACTTTCAATATGTTCTAAACTCATTTCAAATACTTTAGACTTCTTAATCCTTCTTATGACAAGTCAAATTTATAAATAGAACTTCAAAAATCTCTTCATACTAATAATTCATTTCTATACCCTTATTACAATTCCCTTACTAATTCTCTCTTCTTGTTGTTTTGATCTTATATAAGCTTTTCTTAAGCTTATATAACACCCAAAGAACAAAAACCAACTTAGAAATTCAAGAAATCAGTAGCTACAATTCAACTTACCTTTGAAATGAGACTAACGGGAAGAAGAATAAGACAATAGAGAAAAAGCTTTCAGATAACTCTCCCCCAAAACCCACGTGCTTATCCCTTAATAAAGATGAGAAAATATCTTTTAAGTGAAAAAGACCATAATACCCCTTCATTCCTTCCATAATTACCATTTAATCTAATACTAAGATATTCATATTTAAGTCCATGAACTTATCAAATTTTCCTAAATTGATAACCAAATTTCA